TTGGATCGACAGTTATCTAGAGGCGAGCTCAAATGGATAACCGTGCTAGTATCGTAGACTGGCGTCTCTGACACACAGCACACATCAATACCCAGACTTGAGAGAGTACTAGTCAGAGCAGCTTGCTGACCGACTTGTCGGAGGGTGCCGACATTAAAGGCGCCAATGACGAAGGTATCCGGCCTTTGGCTTAGACAGTAAACAGCAGTCGGTTATTCACGGGCGATCAGTATTTCATAATCTTTGTCCGTAGAGGTTTGCGTCTTCTGAGTTACGTGAAATGCGCCAGCGTTTCGTGGCATCCACTTGCATGACGGTGGGAGCCCATTTGCTCCTGGGGGGTCGTTTACGTAGGTAAGAACAGTAACAATTTCAGTACGGACTATTATACCATGTCAGTCTAGGTGCCGAATTTGTTACTGAACTCGCCATTGATTGTGTGTTCGATAACATATTGTTTTTGACAAAGAAAGACCTCACCGCACAAGTTGGTCGTTTAAGTTTTCGAGCATTATAATGGTCATTTTCATCGAAAACTTTTGTGAACTCTAAGGGCATGTAACACATTGGGAAATGTCTCTTAACGGCTTCCTTCTGCGAGTCAGCTACTGTGAGTAGGTTAATTGTAGTCGAGTAACCCCTTCTGAAGTCGTACTGGTTATTTACCAGGGGTGATCCGATGTTTAGGTGATCTCATCGTCGTCATAATCGTTATCGTCATCGTTTTAATGCCGTGCCATGCCCGTGGATACTGTGGCTCGAGGTAGCGTTAGACCTGACAATGATCACGAAGTAGCAGATTAATAAATAGGTGCAAATGCATAACAAATCAGAGGAAAAAAATCCAGGAAAAAACGGGTTTCATAAAACGGAAAAATCAAAAAGTTTGAGAATACGGGCTCGCCATTGCTTACGACCCACCACCACATCAGAGAGTGCTTCCGATCAATGGTGTGAATGGTCATGGATTCCCCACAAGGTAGATCGCACCCAATTGTGAAAAGTCAGGGCTTCTGCTGGATTCGAACCAGCAACAAAATACCATGCCTTATCGCGGCAAGCGCTCTACCGGCTGAGTTCCGAAGCCACGCCAGGAGCTCGGAAATTTCGCATTTGGACTGGGTTGTTTGAGAAATTGTCTTGAGCCCTAACTCGTCACAAGTTCTAACAACAAATTGCTTTAGGGACGTTGAAATACTTCTGAGACTTATTCTCCCCTGATAGTTAGTTTCAGGTTACCACTTCCTTAACTGAATCGGGGACCCCTGATGTCTAAAAAGGCAACAGTTGTCTGTTCTCCATACGAATGGTGTTATTTAAACTCCTGGTGGAGTGTGCAGATGTGGTGAAGTCAGTCACGGCTGAAGTGAAATCTGGTTTGCTTTCCGCGAATATTTTGCCCCGTACGTGAGACTGTGTACGAAGTGAAATAACTACACATAGCTCTGAGGCTAATCTCTGGGCGGTTTGCGCACGAATTAAAAATGGTGACGACGAAGGGAAATCTCGCGGTCAGACTGAAGACAGTAATAGCTGCTCGATTCGATCGTTATGCACAGTCATTTGATGCTTCGTTAGGCTTATCGTTGCGGTTACATTCTATCGTTACAGACTGGAAGTACGGTTGTCTTTAAAAATGATATGTAAGTGCTTCCGGACGGATAATAGTTCAGTTTCTATGAAGAATGCATCCTACGATTCTTGAGGCCTACTAGGTACTCTGACATCCCTGTACCTGCTGGTGATATGAACACTACTTGGTCGTTCTATTCCTCAAGAGAAGCAGCTGGATGAAGCGCTTGTCAAAATGCGACACAGTGACAGTGTTGGACTGTTGTTGCTTGTGTTTTGTATATCGAGTTTCGCGAGTCAGTACGAAAGACGGCATTGCTTCACATGAATACCACTCTGAACAACGCAGTCATGGACGAACCTGGCCATATTTCCATCAGCTAGCGGTAGCCTCATTCTATTAAAGATTGCCACTTATTTGTAAGTAACCACATTGTCTCAGACCATACCTTTTGTTTGTGCTCATTTCGTTTTATCTTTGCTCAGAGATCATCCGCTCTCTAACTGTTGTGTCCCAGAAAACCAACGTTTCGAGCGAATGTCCCGGCGAGATATTCTGAATACCGACCGATTGTGCGCGACCCACGAATTACGATACAGCAAGACAATACAATAGGGAAGACAAAGACAGCAGCCTACCACTAACGCATGGGCTTACGTGAACTTTTGATCTGACAAGATCAGCGAAGAGTGCGGCCATATTTATGTGAAGTTGTGGCCTTGAGTACCATGTGAAGGCAGGACCAATTATTTTGATGAACACAAAGTCCGTGTATCGTAAATGGCATTAGATGTCATATCTGACTGCAATTTCTTGTTCTCAGGGTTTAGTTTACTTTACCTCCAACAATTATATAGAAAAAGCCACTTGCAAAGATGATGTCGTACAAAACGCCTACTAAACAGTACTGACAATCAAACTTCCAAGAGCGATGAAGTGCTCTACATATACGTTGGACTCTCAATGATTACACGAGTCTATTACGAAGAGAGGTCTGTTTCGATGGACCACGGCGGATAAGGCAGAATTGGATTTCTATCAGTTTTACAAGGCTTGTGAGTGATTGTTGACTGACCCTGTCGGCTCTGAGTTCGACAAGGATCAGGGTGAACTGAAGCACAGAGAGAAAGAGTGCATAAAGACCGTGACGAATTACTTGACTGATCAAGCTAAGGAGGTGGGAAAGGCGTCTTCATCAGGGAATAATCGAGTATTGTTTTCCAAGCCTTGTGTTTGCGCTGGCCGTCGACTGGGCGTTAGTGAGGCTATATATGAAAGGAGTAGTTCACGAATTTACAGCCTGTTATGGTGACTCCGTAGATTGGCTGAATATCAAAGAATGATACGACTGACGTGAACCAACTTATTCTGCTGTAAACAATGGAGATAATATGCTTGACTGTGATTGAATAAGAGCCTTGTGAATAGGCCTTATTTGTCATTCCATTAAAATAATATCGGAGCATCATGTGGCAATCACGGAGGTGTTGTCGTTTTTTCATCACATCCAAGATGCTTACAGATCTCGTAATGTGGCATCTTCTGAAACAACAGAAGAACCATGTGCTGTTATGCGTAGGTTTTGGACCTAGTCGACTACCTGTTTTCTTGGTGATAAACATTAAAACGTCGGTGCTTCTTTCCTCAGCTAACGGTTATATTTCTTTCCGCCTAAAGGCTGCCTTCAATTTGGCTACCTGATATGCACTCTGAGGCTGCCTTCATCATAATGGTGTTCGAGTGACGTTTTTTGATTCGTTAAAATTGTTTTGTGCTTACTTGGAGTGCATAGTACGCATTTGTGACAGCTATCTCAAACGCTTTCCATTTCAAGTGGTCTTTGACTAGGGGGTGTTCTAGTTCTCCCTTATCCTCGCACTTCATAAATAACGTTCTGAAAGGAGCACTCGGGGATTTCGATGACCTTGTTGTGCGGACATTACTTTATTCAGTCCTGCAGACAACATACTGATCATTTTGAATCAGTCCACTCGTGTTACCGTTCCGTATGATATGTGTTTTACACCTTTAAGGTTTAAGCTGTTGTTACAAGCTTGGACGTACTCTGATCTAATCGCACATTGCTCGAGGCGGCTACTGAAAGTTGAAGTAAACCCTAAGGTAGCCGGGCAATGATGTGTTAGCTAGATATGGAAGTCTTGGTTGTCTACTAACATGACTACTGTGAACTGCGTGGTTATCCGAATTATTGGTCAGAAGGGCTTTTAGATATGGCAGTCAATTGATTTCCTGCTTGCATCTGCGGGATTGTCGATTCTCCTTTTTTTCTCACGCATTTTCACTGTTTTTTCTTCACGTTCGTTCATTTATTTTATACGATTGTAATTAGTTAATAATATGTTGTAAGATATCCGCGCCAAATTTAGTACGAATGAGGTCAGACAGTTTTTCGCCGTGTTTAGCATGTTATTGGTAAGTCGATTGAGAATAACACAACTTTACGAGCAATTTGTAATACTCTGCTTTTCAATCACCTCAGACGGTCTTTCTTAGGAGTGTTGTAACCTCCGTTCTTTTGTTGGTGTGATTTCGACTACAACACTCTTGAGGGAGGCCATCTGAGGTGGTTGAAACATGGAGTATTACATTGTGTTATTCTCAGTCTGCTTACCAGTGGTTAATAATCTGTTATTTCGTGGGCTGATGCCAGGATAGAGAGCAGCCAGGGCTGTATTACCCATAGGCACAATTAAACGATGAACTTGCGTGTTTTGTAGGATAATGAATCGTCTTTACTTTGGCTGTTGTGCTTTCTTTCGATCATATGCTGAAATAGATCAGCCGTTTTGCAGTTGGCCTTCAAGCGAACAAGCATCCACCACAGTCTCAGAAGGGGCTGAGAGAGGTATTGCAAACATTTGGTCCCAGTGACCACTATGTTCACCCGTTTGTTTTGGTGCGCATGTAGTTTTGTGTATCTAACCGTTTTAAGTGTACGTACAGGTTATCGGAATTTTGGAACCGCAAGTTCCTACACCGCAACCCCTTCAAGACAATGGACCCACTTGGATAACACTTTCTCATCGTACATGCGAGAATAACGAAAACGCTTTCTTCGCTTTCGCCAGTCTTTTCTTATTCGCTAAGTCAAATATTTCGGGCCGTTGTTGATATGAACGATGTATGGTATTAATGGTTGATGGGTTTTGCCGGCGGGTGTCTGTGAGATCTCTGGATGTGCGATCTCTTGGTTAAGTGATACTTAACCGCGCTGACGTTGGAAAATGTTAGGCCTTTATGGAGCAAGGAAGGTACCAACTTAACATTGTGATTTTGTCCCTTCACAACGAGACTGGACCTTGAGGCGATGTGACGGCTTACGCATCTTGATAACCTCCTGGGCTAAACTGGACGGGGTGGCCACCACACCGACAGAGTCACCCATGCCAGGCAGGCTAACAGTTATGGTTCTGACAAACCATAATCGGGGAGTGGTAGACTTGTTCGTCTACTATCGCTGCGCACCCAATGGAGTTTAACCACTCGATCGATCCCAATGAATTATTCCATCCTATCTATCGCGCTGCTGGTTTGCAATTAAAACGGGTCAAAGAGCGCCTGTTGGCAATCGTAGAAGCCTTAACCATCTGCTTACTATCCCCTCACTATGTATTCAAAAACGCTTCGTCAAAACACTAGATCTTCCATGGCGTGATGTCCACGTCTGGACCGAACAGATTACGTAACCATGGCCGCTATCGTAACAACCATCAATAATTTGT